ATCCTTGCATTTGGTCAAGACAAAAATTTACAGATTCAGAAATCTCAGGGACCCCAATGAGATATATACGAAGAAAACCACTCCTAGGCATATCATAATCAAACTGCTGAAAACAAATAAAAAGAGAAAATCTGGAAAGCAAAGATAAACCACAATGACACACTGGGGAGCAATAATTTGAGGTGTCTTGGACTTCTCCCCTGAAACAATGAAGGTCAGACAGTAGTGGGGTGAAATCTTTAAAGTGCTGAAAGAAAAAGATCATTAATACAGAATTCTACATCCAATAGGATGAATGAAGATGAAATAAAGTTATTTTCAGATTAAAGAATTCATCTAAGAGAATTCATCGCCAGTGGATCTGTACCATAAGAAATGCTGAAGGAAATTCTTCAGGCTAAAGGGAAATGATTTCAGAGAAAATCTTGGATCTTCAAGAATGAATGAAGAGGATCAGAAATGGTAAATATCTGAGTAAATATAAAAGACTATTTTTTTCTTCTTACTTTCTTTAAAATATAGGGCAGTTTAAAGCAAAATTTATAACATTGCCTTGTGGAGTTTAGCATGTATGTGGATATAATACATATAACAAATCTAGCATAAAGGATGGGGCAGGGGATGGTAGTAAATGGACCTATATGGTTACGAGGCTTCTACACTTTATGTGAAGTTGTACAACATTATCTCCAAGGAGATTGTCAAAAGTTAAGTGATGACATTGTAATACCTAGAGAAACTACTAAAATATAAGATAAAGTGGTAGAACTAACTGCCAATAGGTAAAGTGGAATTCTTAAAAACAATACTTGAATATGCCAAAAGCAGACAGGAAAAGGAGAACAAAGGAATAACCATCAAAAGGGGGGAAAACCCAAAAAATAGTTGGCGTAAATCCAACCATATCAATTATTACATTAAATATCTATGGACAAAACTGTCCAATTTAAAGGCAGAGATTGCCAAAATGAATAAAAAGCAAGACTCAACTACGTTCTGTCTATAAGAGATGCACTTTAAATATAGAGGCACAGATAGAATGAAAGTAAATGGATGGGAAAAATATACCAGCAAACAGTGAGCATAATATCAGATGAAATAGACTTAAGCAAAAAGTATTAGCAGAGATAAAGAGGAACATTCTTAACGATAAAAAATTGATTCATCAGAAAGACATAACAATCATAAAATGCTTATGTACCTAATAATAGAATTTCAAAATCCACAGAGCAAAATTTGACAGAATTAAGGGGAGAAATAGACAATTGCACAACCACAGTTGGAAGTTTTAAACTCTCTCTCTAAACAAATGTTAGAAAAACTATACAAAAAAATCAGTAAAGACACAGATGATCTGAACATTATCAACTACCCTGACCTAATTGGTATTTACAGAATACTACACCCTAAAGGTGCAAAATCAACATTTTCAAGTGCACATGGTGTATTTACCCACACAGACCATATGTTAGTTGATAAAGCAAGTCTCAATAAGTTTAAAGGCATTGAAACCATACAGAGCTTGTTCTCTGACAGCAATAGGGTGGGTATGGGGCATTCGGGTTCCCTGGAGCCCGGTGAGGGGAGAAGGATGGGTTCAGAGAGAAGGCACAAGTGGCAGTGCCCACATAAGCAGGTACGGGGAAGGGGCAGAACCCCAGGAGAAGGGGGGAGAGGGTGGATGAGGGCACCAATTACCCACCCCAGACCCCAACCTCACCGTCTCTGGCTGCCACCTGCCCCTAGAGCTGCCAGGAGGAGGGAGTGCCGCGGTCAGGTGATGCTCAGAACAGGGCCCCAAGGCTTCCTGCTTGGCTCCTTTGTCTGCCTGAGGGGTGGACAGCTTGTCCTCCTGCTCTGGCCACAGAAGGACAGCACCTAGCAAGGTGTGGAGCGGAGCTGCTTCAAGGTGAGCTGTTTGGGCTGCGGGGGGCAGGATGTAGGTGGGATGGGCCAAGGGGGAGGGGGTGACCAAAGGCTTTGTCAGGGAAGGAAGGGCCAGACCAGGGTGTGCTGGAGGCGCAAGGAAAAGGCCTGCTCTGCCCCAGTGGAGAGCCCCGATCCTTTGGCTGAAGGTGGCCAGCTGAAAGCAGTGATCCCAAACCTTGCTTGCCACAGGGGAACCCTCTGTCCAGGGCTAGACCGAAGGGGACGGGAGGGGCTGGAGATTGAGGCCAGACCACAGCCACAGAGCCAAGCATTGCCACGGTGGCCCCAGAAGACCTGTGCTCCGTGAGAGGACACCAGTGGGTTGAGGTCCTGCAGGGGCCTGTGGGGGAAGGGCAGGGCCCGGAGCCCCAGAGAGACTGCCTGTCACACCCACACCCTGTTTTAGGGCCATCTCATTGCTGTGCCCCTGAAAGCCTCAGTCAGAGCGAGAGGAGAAAGAGCTCTGGCCCCCAGAGAGCCCCAGTGGTGGGGCCAACACTGTCAGGCTGTCCCCTGGACTCTTGCTCACAGCTCCAGGGCCTTGGTCCTTTTCCCTTGTTACAAAGAAAACGACGGCTTGGTTCAAGGAAAGCCAAGGGGAAGGGTGGCTGTTTCTCCAGGTCAGGAAGGATACAGGGGTCCATACTTCCCAGCAGGAGGGTCTGGGGCAGGGGACACTCATGTGCCAGCAGTGTGAGAGAGACAGTACTGTACCATGGTTAAGGTCATGGGCACTGGAGCTCCACAGCCTGGGCTTGGATCCTGGCTCCTCCACTTACCAGTCTGTAACCTTGGCAACCTCTCCAAGCCTCAGTTTCCCATCTGCAAATTGGAAAAGATAGCAACAGTATCTATTTCGCAACGTTATTGTTAGGACAAAATGGAGCTTTAGCACAGTTTCTGGCCATAAATGCTATTATCATTATGGACAGAGCCCCCACATGTGGACCTAGACACCCTATCTGAAGGGGTAGCTCCTCATCCAGACTCGGACTCAAAGCGGTGAAGGTGGCCAGCCTCATCACCCCACCGCCACTGGGGAACTTTCAGAGGGAGAGTCCGGGTGGGGCCCTGCGTCCAGGGCCTTTCCAGCTGGGTGATTTCCTGAGAGCTCTGGGGCAGGGGTCACAGGGAGGCAGCCAGCCTCCGAGGGCCCATTGTTCCTCTCCTCTGAGCCGAGAAAGATGCATTCTCCCCACCCCTTCTCCCCTGACGCCCAACTGTACAGCTCAGGAGCAGACCTGCTCATCTCTCCTTGTCTCGCTCACAAAGAGCTCTCAGTGCCTCACAATTGGCCTGTGATAGCCAGCCTTACGAGCTTATCGTCCCCAGCTGACAGATGAGGAAGTTGAGGCCCAGAGGGAGGAAGTGCTTATTTGATGTCCCATATAGAGAAGTGGCACAGCCAGGACTTGACCTCCCTGTCCTGCATCCAGTGTCGCAGCACAGACTCATGGACACAGCAAATGCGCAGCCCTGCACCGACACGGACAGCCCAGCCCCACATGCAGAGCGCACAACCTGAGCTGGGGGAGGTGGGAAGGGCAGCGGCTTGGATCCTCAGTCCTCATCAGCCAGGTGGTCACAGCAGGTTTTTTTTCCTCCCTAGATGAGCTTCACATCCCAGGTAACTGGAGCAGAAGTCCTCAGCGTGTCTTTTCTTCTCCCCAGGTGGGGTACCTGTTGCACCAACAGGGACCAGGACAGTCCACCCTTTTCCACAGCTGTGACCACTGCTTGGCCTAGTCGGGGGAAGCAGGACCCCAGGTACCCTCCCTACCTGGTGGACTTCAGGAGAGCGTGACGAGGCTGTTCACGTGACTGGTTCTCCTGGGGTCTCCTGAGGTCAAGGGAGAGGGGATGGGGGAGACCTGAGCCTAGGGGGGCCAAGTGTCCAGGTTCTCCTGGGTTCCTGGGATGCTGGGTTTTCAGTTTTAAAATCCAGAAAGTCCCGGGAAAACTGGGACGAGTTGGTTCCCTGAGTCTTCCACAGCTCCAGCCTGGGAAAACAAGACTCACCCAGTAATAAGGAGAGGATACTCTAGACTGCGGCCAGGACGGATGGGGAGGGTCAGGGACAGAAGAGACACAGGGAGCCACACGGCGGTTGGCACTCTGTGACGTGGGCTGGGGCAGCCCTGCTCCTTATTTGTATGTGGGTCCTCTCCACCCCAGTTGAATCTGCTGGAGTCGACCTTCTCCCTTCCAACAAAGATAACCGAGGACTGGGAGGGGTCCCCCGACCACTTCCTTCTCCCAGCTCCCCTGCCAGCCCGGGATTCTCAGTGCTCAGCAGGCCCTACTTTCACCCCTTTCTCAGGCTCTCTCTGAGACCAAAGCTCAGGCACAGCCCAGGAGACCATCCTCCCGAGTCCCAAAAACCCTCCGTTCCCAGTAAAGACAGAAACCTGAACTAAACAGATCTCTCACCTCCTTACAGAGGAAAAGGAGGTGTGGGAGGTGACTGATATTTAGTACAAAGGGCACAAGACACAGAATCATGCAGACGTACACTAAGCTGCGTGCCTTCCAGCAACGTATAACCTCTGCGAAGCGGTTTCCTTATCCTGAAAATGGGGACACAGTCCCCATCCTGGAGGATTGTATTAAGCCCTAAAACGAGCGGCTGCTCCATAGGTGTTTGCTGCTGCGGTTGTTGGAGGCGTCCTTCTCCACTCAGCCTTGGGAGGGGGTGCCTGTCTGGGGTCCAGATTTCACCCCGGTTTCTCGGTTTCTTCAGGACTGCTGCCCCACTCAGGTACACACAGTCCTGGCTATTGCCTCCAGGAAATGGCAAGAGAGGAGAAGTCTGGGGAAGGGGATCCTAGAGCAGGGGGAGGGGAAGAGAATGGAGAGGCTGTAATTTGAGATGAGAAGAAAACACTGGATGAGGAGGAGGTCCCAAATGCTGGAAACTGAGGGTCCCCAGGGGTGGCTCAGAGCAGGATTTATCCGTGCTGTCCAGGCCTCTGGAGTTCCTCAGCACAGGGAGGCGGGGTGCGGTAGTGATGACATTCACTTTGGGCCTAGCCTGAAGTCCCGTCTCCCTGAGCCCTGGGCCGACCATCTGACCCGATGCTCAGTGGAAGGAACCGGCTCCTCCTTCACCCTGGCCTGTGCAAAGGCCCGGCGGTCTGATCCCTTTCTCCTCCCAGGCCCTGACTGGGGCCGTCAGCACCGTTAAGTTCTTCCTCTCTCAGGCTTTCCTGGGTCAGCACTTCGAGGCCCTGGAGTTGCAGGGCAGCGAGCCTGAGCCCGGAGACCTCTTCCTGTTCAGGCTGATGTCCCCCACCGGACGCTGGTGCGGGGCCCACGTGGGCGTGTATTGCGGCCACGGAGAGAGCATCCACTTCGAGGGTGAGCGTCTCCAACGGAAACACAGGCCCTATTCTGCACAGAGCGGCTGCCCAGCAGTGGGCGGGCCACACAGAGAAGAAGTCTGCGGGTCCCGAGTCGGGGTGCGGGTCCCTGAAAATAGGCGCTTGGGTACCCAGGGATGGGGCGTAGGGGCGCCGGGTCCTGGGAGATGGTGGTGCAGGATCACGGGGCTGGGGTCCCAGGACCTCAGCCCGGCTCTGATCCGCACCTGTCCGGCATCCCCGCAGGCAAGAATCCCGGCGGTCACGGGCCGCACATGTTTCTGGGCTCTTGCGAAGGGGTTGTATCCAAACAGGGGCAGCGCCCGCTGTTGCGCTCCCGCTCGCTGTGGCGTGTGCTGCGTAGACGCGGCGGCATTGACCGCGCCGCGCTGGAGCGCCGCGTGCGCGAAGCCATGGACGCGGACCCGCCTCCCTATCACCCCACGCGCAGCAACTGCGTGCACTTTGCACTGCGTCTGCTCCGCCCAGGGCCCAGCCTGGACCTCCTACAAAGAGACCGGAGTCCCATTTCGGTGAGCGCGGTCCAGCTACTACTATACCCACACAGGACCCCACCCGCCTCCGGAGCTGGTTAACAAATGCAGCTAACTAACGCACTCCTGCAAAATTCAGGCCCTTCTTCCCCCTACAGGCCACGTCACTCAAACTCAAGATCTGCTTTACTCTGGCAGACCCAAAGCCCCCAAAACCAAACTAGGCCTGCCAACTCATCGAGGTTCCACCCCGCTGAGACCCTTTGAGGCCCACTCCAGGAAAGCCCCAGCTCACAGATGCTGGGCACATCTATTTACTTTAGTCTATCAACCTCCAAATCCATTCTCCAGTGGAACCCACCTACTGAGCCAAGCTCCACCTTTCTGGGCCCCGCCCATCTCCACCCTCGCGCGCAAATTCTGGTTCTGGGGACATCCGGATCTTAGTCTACAGATCAAGACTCAGCCCTATGGGCTCTTCCACTTTGCAAGTCCAGCCCTCTTCACCTCCGCCCCAAGCCCAGCCAAGAGACCCCAGCCATCCAACCTGATGCCGCAAACTCGGGCCCAACTAGATCCCACCCCGTTCCCCAGCCCGGCCACTCCTTTCCCTCTAGACCCAGAAAGTCTTTCCTTGGAGGACCTCGGGCCTTGGGAGCTGACCTGGAGGCCTCCCTTTGGCGGTCACAACAGACCCTAACCCAGCCTCTTCCCTTTTCCTTCCTTCCTAGGTGTCAGTGGACGTGGACTTGACGGTGGACTAGGCGTGAACTCAAGCCCTCCTGGGTGGGCATGGGGGCTTCAGAAATGGTCATTAAACTGTTTTCCAAAACTGAGTTCGGGGTTCATCGTCCCCTCTATTCTCTCGCCACCTCTCCGCCCGCAACCTGATGTAAGCTCCTCGGCGCTCTTGGATCAACCTTCCTTAAATTCCATCACCTCCAGGAAGCCCCCTGTGAGAAACCAGAATGCCGGCAGAGGGGCCCAGATTTTGTAGGAAAGGTGGAGCGGGGAGAGGGAGCGTCCGTGGTCTCTGAGTCGGTCTCCGGGTGCGGTGCCTCCTTCCCGCTTTAGGACCCCCAACCTTGTGGCACAGCCTTCTCAGTCTCCCCTTTCCTTCCACTGCGTGGGTGCGCATCCGCGTTTGTGTCTGGGGTGAGTGGAGCCCCTAGAGGCCGTTCCACCGAGACCCGGTGGTCGGCGAGTGGAAAAAGGCGTTCTGCATCCCCGGGAAGGCTGTCCCCTCATCAAGCCAGCAGCCTCCACCCCCCACCCCCAAACCTGGAGCTGCATCTGGAACCTTCCTTCGCGGGGATGGGAGGGGGGGTGGTGGGTGGATTTCCGAGGGGTTTGGGCGGGGCCAGCCCCTGCTGCACTTCCCTTCCCGCCCCCTCCGCGGACACGCCCTCCGCTCGGCAGACGCCGGTGCCTTTAAGAAGCTCGGCGCGCGCCCCGATTGATAGAGCCGCGCGCCGCCTCCCCCGCTGCAGACTGCGGCTCTGCGGGCCCGGCCGCCCCCGACCTCGCCGCCGGCCCGCGCGCCCTCCCCCGGCCCAGCCGCGTCTGGCGGCGCAGCCCCCTCCCCGGCGAAGCGCGCTGCCCGGCCGCCCCATGTCGGCCGCCCCCGCCTACAGTGAAGACAAGGGCGGCTCCGCTGGCCCCGGGGAGGCCGAATACGGCCACGACCCGGCGAGCGGCGGCATCTTCTCCTCCGACTACAAGCGGTGAGCGAGCCCGGTACCGTGGACAGCGCCCGGCCCGCCCCGCCCCCGCGGTCCAGAGCCCGCCCAGCCCCCCGCCAGCACCCCGCCCCGGGGGGCCGCCCGGGCCCCGGCGCTGGGGTGGGAGGCCGGAGCGGGATGCGCCCGCCGGCTGCCCCTGGAGGCCCCGCAGCCCCGCCCCGCGGGGCCGTCCCGTCTGTAGGTCCGGATTCCAGGCTCCCCGCCTCCCGCGCGCCTGGCGAGTTGGCTCCAACCGAGCGCGGGGGAGGGGTCAGCGCAGGCGAGCTCGCGCCCCGGGCCTGTGCGGAAAGGCCCGCCCTGGTTGCGGACTCAGCCTCCAGGCCTGGCCCCTCCCACGAGTCCATCTTCTCTCCTTCGGGTCCCTGAGTTCGCGTCCGCGTCCGCGTCTCCCCCGGGCGCTCGCGCTGCTGCTCCCCACGCTGCCCCTGCAGTTCAGCCCGACCTTCACGTCCCACTCCTCCGCTCCACCCCTGGATCACTCCTTCGCTCATTCGGTTATTCCTAAATTCTGAAAGAAGCATTTTTAAGGGCCTACTGTGTCGAGTCTTGTCCTAGTCACCGTGAATGCGGCTGTGAACAGGAGACAGTCCTTGACCTCAAGTTGCTTTAGAGGGGATCTCAGAGGAAGAATCTGTCCTCTGTCCGCGACAATTCAGTGTAGTGGGGACAGTCAGAGGGTGAGGAGCTGGTCTCTGGCCCCGGAGAAAGGCAGGAGGGGAGAGGGAGGGGTGTTCCCGACAGAGGAAGGAGCTCGCAGGAAGGTGGGGAGATGAAGGACGGCCAGGTCACAGGTTTTGTAGGTGCCGGTACAGTGTGATCAGAATCACTGTGCGGGCCACTGCAGTGACCGGAAAGGAGGGTGAGAGATGCCAAGGTTGGGGAGCGGGGGGCGGTCACGAAGACTTCTAAGCCCGAGATGTCAGATTTGCATTTTAGAAGGATCCCAGGCTGGATCGTGGAGGAGAGATGGGAGGAGACAGTGAGGGGGGTGTTGAGGGTGGAGGGGCGTCCAGGATGGTGGCCTAGACTGGGGGAAGGGCTATTGAGAAGGTAGGAGCCACAGAGCTGATAATTAACTAGGGGGTGAGGTGAGAGGAAGGGACTGGGGGAAGATAAGGATGAAACTCAGGTGACTAGTTTTGGAACTGGAAAGAGGGTGGAGCCATCCACACAGTGTGATTGGAAATAAAGATGTTACAAGCAAATCCGTGGAAAATAAAGTTGAGCTCGGCTTTTGACATGCTGAGATTGTAAACTCTGAGGGACATTCAAGTCCAGTAGGTAGCCAGATCCTAGGATTCACATTCCAGGAGGGATTATTAACATATATATATGTTGATCAAAGCCGCAGAAGGAAGTGAAGATAACCCAGGGAGAGTGTATAAAATGAGTTCAGACAGGGCACAGGTGTGAACCCTGAACACGCATGAGGGGTGACCAGAGAGCAGGGGGAAAGTGTTTCAGAGTAACTGAGCAAAAGTAAACCAAAGGCAGGAGGAAAATTAAATGTGGTTTCAAGGAGGAGGAAGTGGTCAGCAGTGTCAGTGCCCTTTGAGGTCAACTCAAAGAAAGAAATCGTGACCATTGGTTTGACAAAGAGCAGGTCAACCCCGACCTGCTCCGCTCCTCACCTCCTGCCCTGGGAGACCAGAGCTGGCAAAGTCAGAGGTGGAGGAGCGAAATTATTTCTCCCCACATTCTATTATGAACAATTTTAAACATACAGAACAGCTGAGTGAATAATAGAATGGACACGTGTATCCTTCCACCTGGATTCAACTGTTGTTGACATTGTCCCACATTTGCTGTATCTACCATCTACCCATAAATATTTTTGGCTGAACCATGTAAGTTGCAGATATCATGGCCCCTCATAAATTCTAACTAGCATCTAAAGCCAGATTAGGGTGAATAGAGGAAGAAATAGGAGGTGAATAAATAAAACCCAGTGAATGGGAATTTTGCTTCTAAGGAGCTTGACTGTAGAGGGGAGAGAGGGAAAGAGTTGCTGGAGGAGAACGTCGGCTTGGGATGGTTTACTTTATTTTTATTGTTATGTTTGTTTGTTATTAGGATAAGGGAGCCCAGAGCAAGTCTAACAGCTGATAGGAAGAAGCCGGTAGTGTGGGACGGGCTGCAGGGAATTGAAGGAGGCCCGGATCCCTGAGTGGTGGGAGGAGAGGCTTCCAGAGCTGGGTGGGAGGCCTGGCCTGGCTTCAGAGGGCAGCTCTGCCCAGAGGGAGGAGAGGACAGCACGGACGCGGATGTGTTGGGGCTGCAGAGGATTGTATCTAAGGCCTTCCATCTTCTGTGAGAGGCAAGTAGTGAAGCTGTAAGAGCAAGGGCAAGGCTATGGGTGGGAATTTGAGGAGCGTCGAGGGGGTTGATATACCGCGAATAAAGCCAACCACTCCTGGCAGGGTAGGAGCAGTGGGGACAAGAGGGCCAAGGATGTGAATGAGCCAGCGGTGGAGGATGGAGCTGGGAGGCATAGGCCAGGTAGGGAGGACGTAAAGATAAGAGAAGGCTGATGGGAGGGAAGAAATCGGGAAACTGGCTCTGGAAAGACAGGTGAGGATCAAGAAGGTTAGGGTCAGAGTGGGAAGAGGGTGTGGGAGATTTCTGAGGAAGAGCAGCTCTGGGAGGCGGAGGCCCAGTTGTGGTGTGAGAGTGGAGGCAAGGAGGGCATCCGTCACCTCTGTCTGGACCTGCTCCCCTGACCCTCTAGGCCCTGCCCTGAGATGGAGCATTGGCTTAGTCCCCAGGCCCTGCCCTCCTCCCCCTCCTGAGTCCTTGTCTTTGAGCAGCCAGGAGGAAACTAGAGCCTCCTTCTCTGCCGGTATCTGGTTTCTGAGTTTCGGGGGCGGGCCGTCTGGTGACAGTCACAGGCATCCAGGCTTCCTGGTCAGTTCAGTCCCATCTCCGAGCAGACCCTAGTGCCTGATGCAGCGGTTCCTGCAGCTCCCGGGGGCCGTGGTGAGGCCAGGAGGCAGAGGGGCCTGTGGGGCTGATCAGGAGGCTGCCAGCCCTGTGCTGGCCCCCGAAGGCGGGCCCCCACCCTGGTACCAGGCCCTGCAGCCTGAGGAGCTTCGCTGGCTGCAGGCCTCAGAGGAAGACCCAACCCCAGAAGCATCTCTGGAAGGAGCTTGCCCAGAGCCTGGCCAAGGCCAGAGCCAGAGCCAGCCGCTACGGTACAGAGGACCCCAGGGACCCTCACCCAGACAGCTGGGGAGGCAAGGGGTGGGCAGCTGCCACTCAGCCAGACTCGTTCAGGTCCCACTTTCTCAGGAGCAGGAGTGGGCTGGTGTTTAGGGTCCAGGCAGGAGGAGGGATGTCAGGGGCGGATGTCAGGGGGCTTAGTGTGGGGACTGAGAGTATGTGGGGTGGGTACATGAGCTTAACTCCCCAGAAGCTCTGAGGGGAGGAGGACAGTAAAATATTTGGGCGTTGAGGCCCCACAGCTAGAGTGGGCTCTGGGTGAGGTTCGGAGACTAGATAAAGCACCGAGTTTGGCCAGCCTCTCCTGGCAAGTGGATTGGCACTTGGGGGTAGAGGGGAGGGAGGAAGGTGTATCAGGGAGGCGAGCATGTCTGGCCTCATATGCCGTGTTTCACCCCCTGGCAGGCTCCAGCCACCCCCCCAGAGAGACGGGCCAGGCCAGGCCAGGGGTCAGGTCAAAGTGAGTGCCGTGTAAGGGGATCCGACTACAGGAGACTAATGTTTCATGGCCTTAGAGCGTTGTTGTGTATCTCTCCATTCCTCTCCCTCTTGGGAACATAAGCTGGTGGGAACAAAGATGAGAGACCCAGGGTGGTCACAGCCCAGGAGGCAGCTGCTGTCTGTTGGTGGCATCTGACAATCCCACCTGTGCTGTGTCTGCTCTCTGTCCACAGTCCCTCCCCCCCTCAATTCCCCATCCGCCCAGGGCCCCGGAGCCCTCAGGGGCCTGGAATGTATGCACTAGGCTGGGTGGGTGGGAATAATGTACGCACCCCTGGGCATGCCCTGGGGTGTGTGCATTTCACACGGGCCTGTGGCATTTCGGGGAGGGCAGTGTGAAGAAGTCTGCTTTAGAGGACATCCAGCGTTAAAAG